GAAAAAATCAATATCCGGAAATTACCTACTTTTCTTAACCCACCTAACATCTCGCGATAAGTCACAACTTTGCCACATAATAATTGAGGACTTACTTAATATCTCTTTCAAGTATGTATTATTATATATCCAAATTCTCCGTGTATAAGACTATATGAAATCGATAGTTTCCTTTTACATTTTCTCCCTCGATTAAAAGTGGAAACTTTCATTTTGTGGTCAAATGAAATTGTTTCACTATTTCCACATGAACGACAGAGTATGTATTTTGTGCCACATAAGGGTGGCGAGAATCAAAGGTTGGCATCAGGAAAGCTATGGGACAAATATGCTAATATGAAAAGAAAGATTAAAAGTTATGTGAACAATTCAACATCGAACGAAACGAATCCAGTACTTGAAACTGAGACATTTAATGTATTTTTGAAATTAAAATCAAATCCATTGGAGGATGAAACACAGTGGAAGAAAATGTGGAAAAAACACATGCTTTCTGTTTGAAAAATAAGAATATAGGAGGAGAGGAGACTTTTTACTATCAACAGCTGACGGATTATGCTCTTTTGATATCTGTTCTCTTTCTGTTTTGTATGTCTCCTTCTTTCTGTTATTTGAATTATAGAATTCTCTGGATCCTTTGAGAATAGAATGTTCTAGATCATTATTGATCGAGCGTAGTGGAAAACCCTAGACTAACGACTAGAGGGCATGTAAGTCTTTCTGGACGCGCCCTCTAGTCAGTATAGAACGTTTACGCGAGAAACGCTACTCGTCGCTACAACTTAGTGCGCAGAAGTGATCGACAGTTCGTAGTGCATTCTTAGTGTGACATCTGGTGTTTCCATTTAAAATAGTGACTGTGCTGCACACTCTCTTTTCATTGAAGAAGTTTAACCTAACCTCAATCTATCGAAACTTTATCTCTTTCTCTTATACTCATATCATAGCTGTATCTCTCCAAGCCCTCTCTTGAGCTTTTCCAAGACCGAGTAGGTCTTGTAGGGACTATTCTGGTAACTTCTCTACACTACAAGACTTGTATTGCAATCTCCGCTTATCTCTCAGTTTAATCAGATCTAGAAACCTCTCGTCGTCTTCGTGATCTCTTTGGTAAGTCTCTCCTGACACGACACATCTCATGATACCATCTTCTGCTTCTTCTTCATCGAGCTTACTTCTCATACTATCTGTGTTTCTTGTTTTGCTTAGATCTAGATTAAGTTTCATTTTTGCCGTGATGCTCTTTAACCAGAATGTTTTATAGCTATTACTGTTTTTTAACACTTCCCGAGATAAAGAATTCGATATTGCCGCATATTTCGAAGAATATCCAATTTTGCAAACGCCTCTGGGACCAACCCTGGTATACCACATTAAATGCATTAAATAAGCCAAATTGTTTGTTTATATTTTGTAACGTGGCATCATGCGCTTGGCTTGGGCGCACCACGTTACATTAAAAGATACAACTCGCGGGTCCGCGTCGAAGGGTCGCGCGATCGAGATGGGAGGGGGTTCAGCTGCGGTGGCGGCGGGGCGGATCGGACGGCGAGGCACGAGGGCTAATACCCTACGCCGATGATGCCGCCGACCGCCCGCTTCCCGCTAGCCGTCCGCTGGACACCTGATCGTCCCGATGAGCGACCGGGACGACAAGGTACCGCGGGAGGGGGGTATATTTGTTTTGGTCCACCCGCTAGACGAGGGGGGACGAGGGGGCCAGGAATTCCCGTGAAGCGGGAATTCCTTCGGCTAAATTCGGCAAACCGGCAACAATAGGGATCGGCAATCTTCGGATTGGCCGAATTCAATCTATTTCCGGTAATCGACCAAGTTGCACGTGTCGAAAACAGTACGGACGATTACGGGTGTAGTGCGTTGGATTGCGAATTTTTCTGGTGTTGACGACTCGGCTAGGTTTTTGTGGAACTCTCTGGTGGACGACGCGGCTTAGTGAAACGGACTGGATATTGTTTTGTGAGAGGAAGGGTGGCTGTGTGTGGAGTGAGGAGGTGCAGGACTAACGGAAGGGCGTAAGTGCTAGGATTTTTTCCGGATTAAGCCGCTACACCGGTAAGTACCGCCGAGAGCGGCCCTTCTTACTACACGGGTTTCACTCGGAGAAGGGCCGGGATAGTCGTATTCACGTAGGCGGGGATCGGTGGTCCAGGCGTTCCGGACGCTGACCCGTGAAGATCTCCGCTAGGAAAGAGGTTCGTCCACCGGCTCCACTTTCCTCTACTTTGAATAAATGGATATTAAAACTTCGACCGGCGTTTTCATTGGCGTACCCCGAACTGTTCGAGTTTCGTCGCCCCTATGTTCCTCTCTATCATTTCAGCTAGCTGAGGCTGAGCAGCCGGGAGATCGCGTGGAAGCGGCCATAGGAGGAACGTCGGTGCGTCGTCGGTGCGGAGGAACGTCGGTTTCAGCACGTTGGGAGTGGCCATAAATTATTTGTCGGCTACGCCGTTGGCCGGCGTACGTCACAATTTATAAAAATCATTCACTCAAACCATTATTAACAATTGATTTATTCAAAATTTAATAATCACGAAGTAGGTAGATTTGATGATCAATTTTATTTCGAGATAACATAAGGCTGGACCGAAGTAAATTTTAATTGTATTTATATCTTTCCTCAATAATGCATTGCATACCTCTTATATTATTTTTCACGCATTTTGAAAATTTCGAAAATCACTGTGTATCTGTTTAAATTTATTAATATTACTACTGCATCCTAATTTTTTCTAATTTCCAGTTTCAGATTTACTACGAGTGTATGGATTTGTCTGATTCTACTATATTTGTTAAAAAGTGGTCAGACTTATGTTCTAAAATTATTACACTCGCTAAAAAATCAACTTGTAAGATAATTTTGGAAGTATCAGGTATATTTGTGTCTTTTCCTGAATAGAAAGTAACTCCGAGAAAATTACATTTTTGTTGTTCTTCATTGTATTACTGTTTCTTTAATATAAAGGTCAATTTTCTTTAATTTGTTAGATGGATTTTCTACACAACTCCGAGCACTTCGAATTGTACCATATTTGTTCCAGCCCACTCTCCTAAAACTTGGAGGTAAGGAAAACTGGAAGTCTTCTCTACAGGACCAGTCGGAGGGATTCATTCTGTGGATTAATAAAATGTCAGATCTTGAGAAATGTCTATATGAACGTCGTCAGCGGTTCCATACCTACAGATTGATATGTCAACCTATCGTTATTGCAGTCAATTCAGCTACTCAAGTGGAAATTGCGTATGTTATTGTTAATGAATTCGGAAGCTTCCAGTTCTTGAACTATTCAATATATTTGAAAAAAAAGTACATATTATTTCGATTTAGGTGGTTCTTGAAAATACGAATAAGTTTTCATTATGAAAGTCCAATGCTCATGTTGCCAAAGATACATAGAAGCTAGACACTTTAAAGATCATACGAAGTATAATCACAAAACGAAAGATGTTATATATTGTTGTTTCCATAAGTCATGCCTTCGAAGTTTGGGCGAACTGAAGTCTCTCAGAAACCATATTGTCGAACGACGAAATATTCAGTGAATTACAAGTCAACACGAAGGAACCTTGTCTTCATATTGATATTGCCATTCAGCATAGAACTGATGTATACTTGAAAATTATAAAATGTATGGGCGATTTATTTGTCTTCTTTTAGTTCTAAAAGCGTTCTTAGAAGTACCTGGTAGTTTTTATCAAACTATGAAGTACATGTCCTTTAATGCAGTCTCATGACGACGGTTTTATACATAATATTATTCAAATTTGTGGGGAAAAAAGCATCCGCTGATGATAGTAGACTAATACTCTCACTGTTTCTCTATCAGGATGATTTCGAATCAAATAACGATCTGGGTTCTCACGCTACAATATACAAAGTGTCCGCTCTATATATTTCAGTTCCTTATTTGCCGCCACATTATCGCTCAAGGTTAGACAATCTTTTCCTTTTCCAACTGTCACATTCTGAAGATAGTCAAACTTTTACTAAACAGCAAATCTATTTTAAAGTAATGGATGAATTAAAAACGTTATGAAGTAAAGGCATGAAAATTAATGTTGATGGCCAAAACCATACTGTCTTCTTTAAATTAGCTCTGTTTATTGGTGATAATTTAGGACTAAACGGATTGCTTGTATATTATTATGCCCCAGGATAGGATTCATCGTATAGTTAATCTCCAGACGTAAAGTCAGCATTAGACGAATGCTGACCCTATGCATAAGGCGTTAAGATAAAAGCAATGAGAGACACCTTGTGAGCCACAGCGGTCACTTGCAAAGTTCCTAGCTAAGAGTGAATTCCTGGAGTGTAATTCATAGTTGTGAATAATTAGTATCATTGTGCCTACTCCCATTAGATTTGTGTTACCTTAGTATTTACATTATACCAACTTCAATAAACTACAATAGTTCTCTATATAATTCCAAATCGGTGCAATTATTTATTTGTGATCCTAAAGAACTCATGACGGTATAACAATATGTAGAAAGTTTCTCAGCAACTTGCTTTTGCAAGTTCTGCAAAGTTACTAAGTTAGGGAGTAAAAGTTTATGTTTTTAAAAAAAATGTAAAATGCGTACGTTTCCGAGTATGAATCGGACGCGCAAAAAAAATTGTGTAGTAGCACGGGAATAAACAACGTTCTATCTGCAACTCAGTCACGAGCTTTGATGTCGCCGAAAATTATTCCGTCGACGCAATGCATGATTTATTGGGACGAATATGCAAGTATGACATGTTATTCTTAGAGCAAAACTGTTCTCTTTGGAAAAATTGAATTTTAAACTTCAATATTTTAAGTATCCTTCTAATTGCAATCAACCGGCACCGATAACTTTGGAATGATTAAAATTAAAAAATTTAAGAATGTGAACTTCTGAAGTCGAATGCTTTATACTTTACAGAGGTGTGATATTCAGCGATCTTGTGCCCAAAGGCAATGAGCATTGGGACTTATTCCTCTTGTTACGGCAGATATTATCGCTTGTTTTGCAACAGTTATGTTTAAACGATACGTGTGACTTACTTGAAATTCTAATAGAAGAGCATCACAATTTATTCTTAAAACTTTTTGGGAACCACCTAAAACCAAAATATCATCTTATGGTGCATTATCCCCGAATCATGAAGTTAATAGGGCCATTGCATCACATATGGACAATGCGTTATAAGGCAAATCATCGTTTGTTGAAACAAAGTGCGGCAATAAGTTGTAATCGCAGAAACATGTGCTATACAATCGCACTGAAGAATCAACTTCGTTTTAGTCATATATTAAATAACCATAATGTTTTTAAAGATTCTATAGTCTTTCGAAACGGAAATGATAAAGTGTTAATAGCACCTTCTATCGCTCGAACGTATATATTGAATGGTCTCATACAAATAAAATATGTCACTGTTGAGAATGTAAAATACCAAGTAGGAATAACTATAGTAATAGGACTCGACGAATTTCCTCTATTTGGGAACATTCAGAATATGTTTCGAAAAAAATATTGCAACGTTAATTTGCGAGAAGATTTTTCTTTCATTATTAGAGAATATAATACTTTAGGGCAAAACGACCATATTCAAGCATATCAAATAAAAGAAACTCATATATTTAGGTTCAAAAAATTAAATACTTTGCCCCGTTATAGGCCCCGCAATGTCCATATAATTGTAAGGCAAAGAAGTACAAAATAACATAATACAGGGTGGTCCACGTAACTCACACCTATTATAACTTTTAAACGATGCATCCTACAGAAAAATTTTGTATATGAAATTTGTACGGTTTTAAAAGATGCTTTATGTGCTGCATATCTTTTTTTATTGTGGTGGAGGCGTTTCGGAGATTTCAAGGCCAACATCGTTTTTTTTTAATGGAATGCTATATTTTTTATACCAAATTGTGAAAGTACGCAGAATTGTGAATAAAAAAGTACTGACCTTTATCAACCGTAAACCTAATAACTAACGAGTAATTTCACATGCACGAGTGTCATGCATGCTTCACGAATACGGTGCTTCATATTCTCAGGTATTGTCGGTGGTTCATGATACACCGTATCCTTTAATTTGCCCCACAAAAAAATAGTCTAAAGGAGTAAGGTCCGGTGAGCGTGGAGGCACAGAAATTGTCCACCACGACCAATCCATCGATTGGGAAATTTTCTATCCAGCATTTGCCTAACATTACGTGCGTAATGTGCAGGGATCCATCATGTTGGTACCAGATTTTTGTACGAACATTTAACTCTACATTTTCTAATAATGTTGGTAAAGTTTCATTTAGTAAATACGTATATTTTTGTCCCGTTAGTCGACCATCAATAAAATATGGTCAAATCAATCTCTAGCTTGATATTACGCGAAGACAGTTTTCAAGAAACAAAGTGAAATTACTCGTTAGTTATTAGGTTTACGGTTGATAAAGGTCAGTACTTTTTTATTCACAATTCTCCGTACTTTCACAATTTGGTATAAAAAATATAGCATTCCATTTAAAAAAACGACGTTGACCTTGAAATCTCCGAAACGCCTCCACCACAATAAAAAAAGATATGCAGCACATAATGCATCTTTTAAAACCATACAAATTTTATATACAAAAATTTTCTGTAGGATGCATCGTTTAAAAGTTATAATAGGTGTGCAAGTTCCGTGGACCACCCTGTATAACATTCATGAATAAGAGTGCAGATTCGTAGAAGATTTCACTAACTGTAATATTTAAAACAGCATTATTTCTTTTCTACATTCATCATAAAATCTTAGAAAATGCAAATGTAATGTGTTTAAATACATCTTCGTAACATATAAAACACATTTCTAATTTGCTTATCTTCCTCCCTTTTAAATTTTTTTCTCAGGCATATTATTTATATAAAAATTTATATAAGAATTTGTTTATCACATAAAATACGGAATTATTCCAAAGTACAATAAAGTCGTATGTCACATTAGGGGATGTTAAATCGCCTTTACACAGAATTGCAAATAGTATACATAGCATCATAGATAAGAGTATGGTATACGTATTTATCCCCAAAAAAAACACTTACGTGTAAAAAACTACCCCAAGTACAGGAGTGCTGTGTATTCCTTTAATAAAAAGTATTGATATCAGATTATTGAGGCCAAGTACATAAGTCACTACATGTTTGCCTATTATATGATCTAGTATTGGCCCATCATTTTAATTGTATTTCCAAAATTTCCTATGACGTTTTCACTACTCCTTTACATTTATTTTTAATAAAATTCTTAGATATGTCTGGTTATATTAATACAGTGGTATTTATTCAAAAATACAAACACCCTTCTACACACCAAGAAGTTTTTCTTAGCAACCTCCAAAAACAAAACACATGAATCAGAAACGCATACCAGTCAATGAACACAGCAATGATGAATCACCCGAAAAATATTGTTCTAATAGGATCTATGTGCAAAAATCATTCAGAGACGATAAACATTGTCCTTTGTTTCTTATACAGGGTTAGTCAGTAGAAACGCACCAGCAGAAGTTGGCCGCAAGTGGCCGACACGGCAGTGTGGCCCTATCAAAAAATGACATGTGTCTGTGAACAATTTCCATAAGCCCTTGTTTTATATTCTGAATTAGAAAAAAAATTAAATTAGTACGATGGGAGTCCCAAGTGCATTTTCATGCAATAAATGTAAAACTGTTCGATTTGAAATACTCTCTGTCCAGAATATCTTTTCCCCATTCTCTCAAAGAAAACTAAGTTATTGTCAGGGTTAACTATGCATATTCTTAATTTGTCATAATATAAATACGCTGGCAGACAGTATGTTTATTTTTAATAAAATTCTTAGATATGTCTGGTTATATTAATACAGTGGTATTTATTCAAAAATACAAACACCCTTCTACACACCAAGAAGTTTTTCTTAGCAACCTCCAAAAACAAAACACATGAATCAGAAACGCATACCAGTCAATGAACACAGCAATGATGAATCACCCGAAAAATATTGTTCTAATAGGATCTATGTGCAAAAATCATTCAGAGACGATAAACATTGTCCTTTGTTTCTTATACAGGGTTAGTCAGTAGAAACGCACCAGCAGAAGTTGGCCGCAAGTGGCCGACACGGCAGTGTGGCCTCCTCAAAAAATTACATCTGACTGCGACCGATTTCCATAAGCCCAAACTGACAGTTTGCATAGCAACAAGGTTATTGAAATATTTCAATAGTTAGGTTACTGAAATAATTAATTAATATTGTAATGACAAAATATAATATCAGAAGCAGAATTGCAGTTGTGATCATTACTTGAAAATATCGGCCTCCTCAAAAAATTACATCTGACTGCGACCGATTTCCATAAGCCCAAACTGACAGTTTGCATAGCAACAAGGTTATTGAAATATTTCAATAGTTAGGTTACTGAAATAATTAATTAATATTGTAATGACAAAATGTAATATCAGTTAGGATTTATTTTCACAACAGATTGCAATTAAAATAATGTAAAGTTTAAAATATTCACAATTTCGATATTTTCAAGTAATGATCACAACTGCAATTCTGCTTCTGATATTATATTTTGTCATTACAATATTAATTAATTATTTCAGTAACCTAACTATTGAAATATTTCAATAACCTTGTTGCTATGCAAACTGTCAGTTTGGGCTTATGGAAATCGGTCGCAGTCAGATGTAATTTTTTGAGGAGGCCACACTGCCGTGTCGGCCACTTGCGGCCAACTTCTGCTGGTGCGTTTCTACTGACTAACCCTGTATAAGAAACAAAGGACAATGTTTATCGTCTCTGAATGATTTTTGCACATAGATCCTATTAGAACAATATTTTTCGGGTGATTCATCATTGCTGTGTTCATTGACTGGTATGCGTTTCTGATTCATGTGTTTTGTTTTTGGAGGTTGCTAAGAAAAACTTCTTGGTGTGTAGAAGGGTGTTTGTATTTTTGAATAAATACCACTGTATTAATATAACCAGACATATCTAAGAATTTTATTAAAAATAAACATACTGTCTGCCAGCGTATTTATATTATGACAAATTAAGAATATGCATAGTTAACCCTGACAATAACTTAGTTTTCTTTGAGAGAATGGGGAAAAGATATTCTGGACAGAGAGTATTTCAAATCGAACAGTTTTACATTTATTGCATGAAAATGCACTTGGGACTCCCATCGTACTAATTTAATTTTTTTTCTAATTCAGAATATAAAACAAGGGTGTGGCGCCATTCGTCTAGACCGCCGATTCAGTTCTTTACGTGCATCATATTCGTATTATATTACTTAATATTTCTATAAAATATACTCGTATAAAAAGGATCTATCCTATCTAGATTAGGCCTTCATGCGCTCCGAACACCGCCTGTTGTGAAAATATCAAACTAATCCTGCCGTCGAAGTAAGCTTTACATTTCTCGCAGCCACGGTAGAAAAGTGCTCCCACCGGGTTTATTACTATACAGTTTTTCAGATATTGCGCTTATCATGAATAATCTTGTATATACCAATAGTGGTATAAGAATATTTCTTAGTATATTTCTATGCGTTTGAACTAATTATAGTAATAACCCTCTTTATACGATCCTGATTTACGTAGTTTCGTTATATCATATATTTTTTTTCAAAGCAACACTAACTGCGTTTCTTGTCTGTCCACGTACGTATTATCTTCATAGAATCTGGTTCATTTTTATATTTATGAAAGTTTATACATAATTTTATATAACGACTGATATTTTCTTTATTGGTCCATTGAACTGATTTTATCGTTGAATAAATAAATAGCTACACAATATTACTTTCATTTATGTTTCATTGAATTTTCAAACAACTTTCTATTTTACCCCGTTATATAGTATGCTATTTTCATATAACGCGAAATTAGTAGGGGGCTCGTCTATCGCATAAATCGGGGCATTACTGTAGTTAATAATAAAGTAATCTGACTTACTCTTAATCTATCATAGGGCCATTGAGTTGCACCTTGTTGAATTGTTGCAAGAACCTGGCTCACGCCTATCTGAGATTGATCACGCTGTTCTAATTTGTGGGAAAAAAAGTTGATCACCTGTTGAACAGAAGCTATGTTATCCTTTGAGCAAATCTTATTAAATATTTGATACTTTAATGACATTTTAAGATTTATACAGAGTGTAAGACTCTTATGAGCTGTTTTCTCTGAAACTATTATAATTGCTTGTTATCAAGAGACTCGGTCGAGTCTCGCGCCAAGTACAGGCAACCGGCTGTACAGGGTACAGCTCGCCGAGACTCTTCACTTGAGTCAACTCTTATACCTGTGTTTGGAACAAAATATCTTATTAACCGCTATACATGAGAAAAAGCTATTAGCTCCGTAGTTTCCTGTGTCCAGGTGTTGGATGTGGAAGTCCAGGGTGTCTCGGTATTCCGCTTCGTAGTTTCCTGCATCTAGGTGCCAGACGTGGAAGTCCAGGGTGTCCAAGTGTTGCGCTGTGTAGTTTCTTGTATCTAAGTATCGGACCTAGAAGTCTAGAGTGTTCAGAAAAACGCGCAACGAGCGACGCTTTGGCGCTTCGCTCAAACAATAGTATCCTCTCTGTTGTTCGCACGGCCTGAGGTACGTAAATAATCCAGCACACTTTCCTCTCTTACGTTTACCACACGGCTTCAACAAGCTGGACACCATTAACGACGCTTATATGCACTGAAGATTACATTTTCTTTAAAAATTTGTATATATCTTTATGCATTTCTAAAAAAAAGGGACTTACAAATTATATTTTTATATATTTTTCTGATTAGCGACATCATAATGCATTTACATTTTATATCTGTGAAAATATAGATTTCAGTGCTTAGAGCTTCTACGTCCCGTTAAACAACAAAAACTTGTGATATCCCCTAATAAACACTTACGTGTAAAAAACTACGCCAAGTACAGGAGTGCTGTGTATTCCTCTAA